TAAAGATGAATATCGATTGTTGAAGATATGACAAAGAAGAATGTGCCGCCACGTGACATTCTATCAATATTAAAGTCGCAAAATGAAAATATTGTGTCAACACTTAAAGACATATATAATGCACAATATAAAATTTGCAAGTCCTTACAAGTTGGGAAAAGTACGATGCAGGTAAAACATTACACATCTTTTTATGTTTCCTTTATATTTTGACTTTTTTATTTTCAAATAATCAAAGTGTAATTTAATTATGAAAATTTGAATATAGGTTCTTATGTCTCTTTTATACTCCTATGGTTATGTTCACGACTTTTCTACAAATGATGTTACGAACGAGTTGGAAGCTTTATTTTTTGTTCATCTAATATCTTTTAAGATATGATGTGTATTCCCACATGTGTTGATGATAGATGCTACGTATAAGACGGACAAGTATAATATGTTTTGTTGAGATTGTTGGCATAACTTCTACAAGAAGGACATTTTGCATAGCTTTTGCCTTTATAAGTGAAGAAAAGATGGACAACTATAAGTGGGTGTTAGAGTGTTTAAAGTTGACACTAGATGAGTGCATGCTACCACGTGTTATAATTACCGACAGAGAATTGACTCTCATGAAAGCATGCAAAAAAGTTTTTCCGAATGTTAATCGATTACTTTGTAGATGGCACATTAGCCAAAATATTTTGAAGAATTGTAAGCCAACAATCAAGACGCAACGTGATTGACTCTTTTCTTTCGGCGTGGAAGTTACTAGAAGATTCTCCGATGTGGATATCGTACATGGAGAACTACAAGTAACTTCAATTAGTATTGAGGAAATATCCACATTTTTTTATATTTGACATATTTTTATTTTTTAATATTTCATATCAAATAATTATATTTTAATTTTATTTAACTTTTCAGGTGTTTTAAGTTATTTGGATGAACAATGGCTGAATAATTATAAAGAAAGGTTTGTGTCTGCATGGAGTGACCAGTCTCTCAACTTTGGCAATCGAACTACCAACAGAGTTTAAAGCCAACACGCCAAGTTAAAAAAGTACTTGAAATCAAAAAAAATATTCATTAGATCAATTTGTGGGCTATATCAATCAAATCGTGCAATCCCAGGTTACAGCAATAAATGAAAGCTTTGAAAGAAGTAGAATTTATCATTATCATCAACATAACCAACCATGTTTCAACTTATTACGGGGTTTTGTTTCAAATGAGGCTCTTGATATGATTTTAGGAGAACTACATCGATTGAGTGATATTGAGTTTAACTACTCAACATGTGGTTGTCAACTTTGTAAGAGTTATGGGCTACCTTGTGCTTGCGTACTTTCAGCGTACTTAAATTCGGGTCAGTTTATTTAACTAAAATCATTTGATTATTTGGAGGTCTTGATTTTTTAGAAACTAAAACTTTTTTTTCCAGGTGAGGATATTCCTTTGGATTCAATTGATATTTTGTGTAGGACACTAGATGTTTCATGGTCAACACCCTTGGAAAATGAAGATATTCAATGTGACGATGAACTGCACATTTTCAAAGAAGAATTCAAAAAGCAGTCCAACGCTGGAAAGAATAGTTTTTTAAGAAAGCTAGGCGATATATTCAATCGAAGCACAAATCTTATTAGAGAACCCACAGTTAAAAAAATACTCGCGGGCGACCAAGCTTGAAGAAACAAAAAAAGAAGAAGTGTGTTGATCCGAAAAATCAAGATCATAGTAAAAGTAGTTATTCCACCAGATTTTTTGATATAGACTTGAATTTGGAACCGATAAATATTGAAACGGCGAGACACGGTTCATATGTAATAAGCGCAAGCGATTTGTTCCTGGATTTAAACGAAGAACCTGCGAGACACAATTCATATGTAAGCCAGTCGTTTGCCAGACCTGGTTCAGAAAGATTTTTGAAACAACTTCCACAAATTTTCCGTCCTTATCTTACAGGTTTACAAGATGTAATAGGTGATGGGAATTGTGGATTTCGATCAGTCGTTGTCGCTCTTGGTCTATCTTAGGATCAATGGCCTTGAATTCGGTCAGACTTGGTGCGGAGTTAGATGTTAACTAGCAAAAGTATAAGTATATATTTGGAACGACATGTTATAAAAAAATCTATAAACCCGTACAATTAGCTGGAAAATGGGTGGAAATGCCAAACACATGATTGATTATTGCTTCTGCATACAATAGAGTTGTTATAAGTCTAGCTAATGGAGGAAACGTCGGAGGTTGTACTACGATTTTCCCGCTTTGGTCCAGACCAAAATCAGAGCCACATGGGACAATCGTCGTTGCACATGTGAATGATAACCATTATATTAAAGTGGCATTATGCGAATGTTGTCCTTTGTCGATGACTCATCCACTTTGGATCACATATAAAAGTTATCACATATAAAAGTGACATTGCATCTGCATGGGAAGACCCATATGTTAGTCGTCAGGAAGAGTTTCGTGAATATTATTTTCGTATTCCTGAAACTTTTGACATATCGAAGTAATTATGTAACGTTCAATTTATTGCAATTCTAGTTTATTTATCAATGAATGTTTTAATATTTACTTTTTTTATACATGTATGTATAATTAAATAAGTAGAAAAGATAACAAAAATTTTAAAAATAAATAATTATTACCATGTTGAAGAAATAAATAAAAAATATTTTAATAAAAAACTTTAATAATGAAAAATATCTTAATAGAAAATTTTAATAAAAATAAAAAGACATCATTATTACATAATGATAAAATATTTTAATAAAAAAATAAAAAAATAAAAAAACATAATTATTACATTAATATTTTGGTGTTTTAATAAAAAAAAAAAATATAATCATTACATCAATCTTTTAATAAGTTTAATAAAAAAATTAATATATTTAAACTAACCCTTAATTTAAATAACAACAAACATACTACAATAATATATGAATAAAGTAAAATAAAAATATCTTTACCTTCTTTTTCGAATCTTTCTTTCCCTCTTTCTCTTGTCTCTTCACTTGGATAAAAGTCGGGTGTCTAATACATATAAAATTATCATCATTATTATGTACCAATAATTGTACCCATAGTCATGCATTTTTTTTCACTTTGCAGAGGGTTCACGTGGTAAGTTTGCAGCTTCTTTCTTTCTTTCTTTGTCTTTACTTTGCAGGTTCACGTGGCCATGTGTTTAATCTTTTTTTTTTAGTATGAAGCTTTGCAGGTTTAGGGAATAGGGATGGACGCATTTGGAGCTTTGCGTCAAATGGGGGATCACATTGACTGCAATGCGAAAACGAGTCGAGTTCGAATATTGCTGAGCTTGCCTCGGCTCGAAAATTCGTGAGTTTAAAATTTTCAAGTTCGACTCGAACTCGAAATCCTAAACTAAAGCTCGTGAGCAGCTCGAAAAGGCTCGAAATGAAAAAAAAATTCTTAAACTTAACTCGATTGAAGCTTCAAACTCAAACTCGAACATGAATTATAAATACATAAAAATTCTTAATATATTATATTTTCGAGTTGCTCACGAGCTTTTCGAGTCGAATATCGAGTAGCTCGTTTCGGCTCGTTAAGAACTCGAGCTCGAGCTCGAGTCGAATTCATTCGATCCGAGTATTTATCGAGCCTTAATCGAGTCGATCTCGAGTAGCTCACGATCTGTCTCATCTCACTTACAGCCCTAAATGCGACACAAAAAAAAATCAAACCCATTGATCACCAATATTTTCAAAACCGGACCGGACATTGAACCGGTGAAGGTAATGGTTCACTGGTTCAACAAGATTCAACCGCGGTTAAACCGAATTTTATATAAAATAATATATTTTTTAAATTTTACATAATATTCAAAACAATATTAATATATATGTAACACTTTTTTTAAGTTTACAATATTAAAAGGTATAAAAATATCACAAGTCATAACATGTATAAATGAAAAACCATAAAATCAAGTGAAACAAAATGATTCAAATCAACTACAACATAATATTTAAGGTAAAACATATTAAATAATAAATATAATTATATAACTATAATAAAAAATAAAATTGGGGTTTTAAAAAATCATAACAAATGATGTCATTTGGTTTAATTGTTTAAAAAAAACAATCTCACATGGCTAAGAAACATAGAAGAGTATCCCAAAAGTTTAAAGAGTAAAAATATGAGAACAAAACAATCCAACATAAAAGAGCATCCCAACTTACTTCTATAAATAATAGAGGTAATTTGACATTCAAAATCATGGAGCCTTTTGGTGAGCACAAAGCGAACTATTCTTTCGCTTCAATTGAGCTCAAATTTTAGGCTTCAATTGAGCTCAAATTTTAGGCTTCAATCGAACTTCTAATTTTTTTTTGAGTTCGAGCCTTTTCGATTTCAAGTTTTAATATTATATTTCGAGTTGATAATTTTTAGCTCGTGAGTTTTTGAGTCGAGTTGAGCTTACTTTTAAAGTTTTCGAGTTCGAGTCGAGCTCAGCAATACTCGAATTTGACTCGGCTCGTTGAACAAACGACGTTGTTTGGTTTAATTTTTTTTTAAGAAAAAAAAGTGAACCGACGGTTCAAACCGATTTTGCCGATTTTTAGCCGGTTCACCCCGATTTTCTCGGTTTTCTTCCGGTTCTTTACCGGTTCTATGCTAATCTGATTTTAGGAGTTAACCGGACCAGACAGGCCACCGATTCACGGTTCAACCGGTCGAACCGACCGTCGATCTGATTTTAATAACATTGTTGATCATAATGCGACATCGCCTTGACTGTAGCAATCACATTATTCAAGCAAATAAATTCGCTTGATCTTTATTCGAGCCATTTATATTTTTGGATCATTGCCCTAAAAATTTAGCCATTTTTGGCAAATTTTTTTAAATAATGCTGTGAGATTTTTTTTATTTTCAAAATAACGCTGCTTTTTATATTCAAACAATATTTACCTAAATACTTCTATAAATAAAAGCAATCTAATAACAAATAAAATCAGAAAAGGTCTTCCCCCCAACACACTCTCTTTCCTCTCTTATTTCTCCCATACGTTGAGACTCTCTCTCTCTCTCTCTTCCATTGTTCTTCCCCTCCATACTCTTAAGTCTTAATCTTCTCTGTTGTTGAAGGAGCAAGCTGGTGCATTGCAGGAGTGATGCAATGCGACCTACAAAAGCTCTTCAAACCTCACTTGATATATATGGTTTCAGTGGCTCCTGCTTCCTGGCCATCCCAGTTTGTTCATCATCTCTTTCTTTTCCTTCATTTTCTGTTTTTTTTAATACTAGGTTTTCGCTTATTTTGTTTATCATCTCTCTTCTTTTTGTAGGTTATAGATCTGATATGTAATGTACCCATCTTCTTAAAGGTATGAATGTTTTTTCCTCCACTTTTGCTCCTTCAGCTTCACAAATTCTACTGATATTTATCTTCTATATACTTTCACTAGTGTTATTAGGGCAAAATTCTTGAGATAACGCTTTGAAAAAAAAATCTTGAGATATTGTAATCCAAGAATTATTTGCTGAAATAGGATGTTTACGACAGTTCGAGAGTTGGTCGTAAGGTGCTCCGGGCGACCTGCACATGCACGTCGCCATGCAAACCATGCGACCTTCTTAGGTCTCCATGCTACCATCCCGTAGGTCGCCCATGTGTCCTTGCGACCGAACTGATCGACCATGTGATCTCTGCCGTGAATAATTGCACGCGTGTTACTATATATCAAAAGCTGAGCAGAAACAAAAGCTCGGGTTACTGTGAACGCGTGAATAATTGCAGTAGGGGGTCGGTTTAGGGTTATAAATTGGCCATGGGTATGGGGTGTTAACAGGAATGAAGAAAGAAAGGTAGAAGAAAGAAAGAAAGGGAGAAGAAAGAAAGAAAGGGAGAAGAAAGAAAGGAAAGGAAGAAGAAGAAAGGATCGGGTAATTGGTAATTATTAGTTTCTTAGTTTAAGTTATATTATATTATAATTTGTTTCTAGTTTAAGTTATATTATATTATAATTTGTTTCTAGTTTAAGTTATATTATAAATAAAAAATTAGTTAATTAATTTGTTAGTTTATTAATTTAAGTTATGTTAGTTTGTTTGTTGAAGTTATATTATATAAAAAAATTAGTTAATTAGTTTGTACGGTTATATTAACATAAATAAAAAAATAGTTTATTAGTTTAAGTTAATTTGTTATTTTTTTTTTGTGCAAATTAGTATTAGATTATATAAAATTAATTTGTTTAATTTATTGTAGGAAGATTTGAAAATAGTATATTATATTATTTATTTAATGATTTATGAAATTATCTTATCAAATTTTTTAATCTAAATTTATATAATTTTTTAATTTGTAGAGAAAATGAGCAACAACTTTTTCACGATTGTCCATTATAATGGACATATTATGGAAAATGAGGTCGGAGTTGTTTTTAGTCTGAAAAACCAATAAATATGATGTTCAAAAGATACATCACATTTGTAGAAATGAAGTAGAAGATAGAAAGAAAAATTTGAGTTGCAGTTGATGGTTTGATGTACAGGTTTATGATATGTCACAACCCAATCAGATATGCTGCAGTTCCACTTGAAGAAGAAGATGATATTTGAACCATGATTGGATTACATGAGTCAACTAATATAGCAGTTATTGAGATTTGTTGATGTGCGTAACATATATGATGTTCCTAGGTCATCAAGAAATGTGGCTCGAAATCCATCTAAAATGACTTTCGATAGTGAGATTGAGGACCCGACATACAGGTGCCAAACAGTTTTATGGCACTATTGGAAAGTGAAAATGAAGTCGGAGGGACATCCGCAACAGCAGAGTATGAGACGAGAAACATACACCATTCGGAATTGATTGTTGATATTGATGCTAAAATCGATGGGGAGAAATTCATGATGATTCAAGCGAAGATGAAGAAACCGAAGAACCTGTTTTGGGAGTCTGATAATTTTATCGGTGGATGTGCACTTGACTTGGCCATTGATGAAGTTCTGACACCGTATGAAGCTACTCCTCACATTTACGAGATAGATTATGATGTAATGAGGGCACCTGAATTCCCAGACATGCCACATTTACCTCCGTACCAAATAGATGAATCATTCGAAAATTATGGTAAATTTTCAATTGGGGTGCAATTCAGAGGAAAAAATGAAGCTACGCTGGCGATTAAAGAGTATTGCATCAAAAACCATGTTGATGTCTATGTTGCAGAGTCCAACCAAAAAACCATATACGCGAAGTGTGTTAAATATGACCCAGAGTGCAAGTGGATGATCAGAGTGTCGAAAATTCAAAGGCACGATGCTTGGGTCATCACAAGGTACAATGGTCCTCACATATGTTTGCGAAACACTATCGAGCAAGACCACCGACTATTGGACTCCGATGTAATATGCGAATACGTGAAGGTGATGGTTGAAAAGGATCAAGGATCTCTTGTTCAGTGTTAGCTATATCTATTCGAAGCCAATTTGGATACCAAGTAAAATATGGCAAGGCGTGGAATGCGAAGATGAAGGCAATGAAGCTGACGTATGGAGATTGGGATACATCGTATAATGAGCTACCACATTTGCTACAAGCAATGAAGCGATTTATCCCAGGAACCATAGTGAAGTCTCAAACCATGCCCGCATATGACAAAGAAGGTCAACTTGTGCCAGGGAAGAAAATATTTCATACTCTTTTGGGCGTTCAAGTCATGTATTGAAGGATTTCCATTTTGCAAACGTATGATCCAAGTAGATGATACGTGGTTGTATGATCAATATAGGCATGTACTCTTGATGGAGTTTGCTTGATATTCGATAGAGGAACGGGTATTTTGGCGGCAATTGAACGATCAGGAAGTCGTTGGATACCTCCGCATGCATATCCGACATTTTGTATCTGTCATATTGGTAGGAATAATATCGACTAGTTTCATAACGCAAACATTCGTAGTGAGATAATAAGCATGTATAAGTTTTATTTTCAATATGTGTGTATTTTTTACGTGGTTTTTTTAATTGAGGTTTAACACAATATATTATGAAACAATATACGAACTATGCCGACCAAATTTTGATAAGTGATTGGACAATTTGAAGGTATTTTATGATGATCAGTGTGTTTGGAAGTGGGCTTCAAAAATACCGTGGGAAAAATGGTCACAAGCATACGATGAAGGTCGGAGATACGAACATATGACCACAAACCTTGTTGAGGCCATTAATTCAGTACTAAAAGGTACATGTTATCTCCCAATAGCGAGTGTGGTGAAAGAGACGTACTTTAGGTTTGTTAAGGTTTGGTCCGATAAAGGCAAGGAAATTGAGTGTCTCATAAATAGAGGTCAAACTTGGGCTCCTACAGTGGTGGAAGAAATGGGAGCAAATGAGCGATTGGCAACATCAATGATTGTTCATAATTTCGACCGAGTTGGTCATAATTTTGTTGTGTCATGCATACACCGTAACGTAGGAGAAAACCAAACATTTAGAGTTGATTTACGACACAAATGGTGTGATTGTGGTCGCTTTCAGGCATGGAAATATCCATGTGCTCATGCAGTCGTTGCATGTATGTATGCTGATGTAAGCGCATACACTTATGTTGATGAATGCTTTCACTTACATAAGATATTAAATGTCTACAGCTATGCGTTCATGCAGATCCCAAATGAATCATATTGGCCCAAAAAGGATCATGACGAATGACTGCCAAATCCAATGCTTCGTAGAAGTCCAAAGGGTCGACCTGAGTCCAGTCGTATTTATACCAGTATGAATTTCCATGCTAGAGAGAGGTCAACCAAAGAGATGCAGATTATGTAGGGGTGAAGGTCATTCAAAAAAACAAGTGTCCTAATTTACCAGAATATAGGTCTCATAAATAATCATATATGTATTTCTATGTATTTATATATTTGACATTTTAATAATGAACCTATTTTTGCAAGGAAATTTATGTGATTTTTTAACTTAAATTATTAAATCTTCGAATTTAAGTTGAATTTATGTTTTATAACTAATAATTATTAAATCAAATTTATGTTTTTAATAATATTTAAGTTTATTTTAAATTGAATTATTTATATTTTATTTTTATTTTATCTTATTATTATTTATAAATAGTCGAATTTATTCAATTTAAATCGAATTTATAAAATTTATGTATGGGCAAAATGGCCGGAATAATGCATAGGGGATTATTTTTCCCCAAAATAATGCAAGGGGGAATTATTACTAATAATTATTTAATATGATTGATTGATTACTAATATTACTAATAATGATTTAATATTTATTATTAATATAATGATTTGATATTTAATGATTTAGTAATGATATGATTTAATAATGAATACTATTAATTATTTATTATAAATATTTAATGATTTAGATTTGATACTAATGATTTAGTAATGATAAGTAATAATAAAATTATAAGATTTGATAATGATTTGATAATATTTTTAATTATTATTACTACTAATTTGATAATATTTTTGATTTTTTTAAATATCAAACAAATTTGTTAATTCATTTTTATAAATTTTAAGATTATATTCGATTCAACTTTTACTCCTTACTCAAATGAAATTTTTTTACTAAAGGTTTTGAATTTAATCGAGTAAAAGATTCAATTTAAACTAAGTAGTATCGATACTGCTAATGTAATACCGATACCATGAAAACAAACCTCAAAATGGTACCGATAATACTAATGATTTATTATTAATATTTAATGATTTGATCTTTAATGATTTAATAATTATATGATTTAGTAATGATTACTAATAATGATTTATTATTAATATTTAATGATTTGATACTAATGATTTAGTAATTATTACTAATAATGAAATTATAATAATTACTAATAATGATTACTAATCATTATTAATAATTATTTAACAATGATTAAATATTTAAATAGAATTTATTCAATTTAAATAGAATTTATAAATAGTTGAATTTATAAATAGTCGAATTTATATTTATAAATAGTTGAATTTATAAATAGTCGAATTTATATTTATAAATAGTTGAATTTATTCTTTTTACATTTCACGTGGAGGCATGCATATTAATATTATAATAGTTAAGTTTTAATAATATTTAACATAATTAAGTTTATTTTAAATTAAAATTTAAGTTTTTAAGTTAAGGTTAAAAAATTCTAAATACATAACTTTTGTTTACAAAATAAAATACTAGTATAATTTAAATATTTAATTTTAAACAAATAACAATTGAGTTTATAATTGTTGTCGATGTTGGGGTGTTGTTGAATGATAATGTCGGGGCGGACGTCTAATGCGTTGTGGTCGTTGCAGTTGCTCAGAGTATGATACTCATCCTCCTTATTCATTGG